GGGGGGGGGGGTCAATGTATATGTATATATATATATATACATAACCGGATGATGGTGATGATGATGATAAACTATGTCTGACTGACTGCGGTCAAGAATCCAATCACCAGGATCCGAGCCCAGAGCAGCCAGCCCAAGAAATGGGAAGAGGCCTGGGAAGTCGAGTCCCAAATCTGGGAAGTCTGGGAAGTCGAGTCATTGGACGAGTCTTCCACCTCACCCACAGTCGTTGTCGTTGCTGGTGAACTTGGGCAGTCCGGTGCGATGTTGGCAAGCTCACCTTGCGCACGGATGTTATCATGCGACTCGCACATGGCACCGCTTGCGAATGCGCTGACACCGAAGAAGCAGTGGCTCAGCGAGTGGCCGTGCTTGCGTTTGCAGCACTCGTCTTTGCTGAGGATGCTGGCGCATGGATACCCAGGCTCTGGCTCAAGAATCGTGGCACGGCAGTCGGCTGCAACATTCGCCCAGTCCTCCGCCACGACGACGCTAGATGGCTGGCATACACCGTTGTAGTAGACACAGTCCTGGTCACGGAACTTCTCACGTGAGTCCTTGCTGCTGCAGCAAAGCGCAGCATCATTCCAGAAGGTGTAACACGGTGCACGTCCGCTTCGAGCGGCATCCACCTCCGCAACATAGTCCGCGAAGTAGTTGAAGTTGTAGTTGGCCGGCGAGGCCTGGATGTCCATTGCGGTGGCGCTTAGCACCATCTTGCTGTCGCGCTCCACAGAGAACGAGACATTGCCTGGAACAAATGGCACTTCTAGCCGAGTGATGCCAGCACTTACTGGAGTGGACACTGTGGCCCCAGCATTCTCAACGTGGACCGTCGCTGCTTCCTTCATCACTGCCACCGCATAGATCAAGTCCTTCGCATCCTGGTAGTGTAGAGGTGGACCTTGGGTGTCGTCGGTGGCCAGCGCATCCTTGGGGTGTGGTCGGTAGTAGTAGAAGAGCTCGTCGCGGACAATGGCAGTGAAGTTTCCACCGTTCCGGTACGCTTTGGCAAGGATGCTCGACAAGCGCAGGAAGGCCGTGTGGTCGAAACCGACAACCCATTCGGGAGAAGTAGTACGACCTCGGGGGTTGGTCATGTAGTGAGACTCACCCCAGTCGTTGTAAGTAGCAAGCTGGACGAACTCGGGCTGTCGGTCAATGATCTCTTCCCATCGTGTCACTAGCAAGTGGTCGTCACCTCCTAAATACCAGTTCTTGTCCCAGCCCGGAACAGCAGGAGGTGGCGCGTAATGAGTGAAGAAGAGCGGAGACACGCAGGCCATGAAGGTCTTGTTGTCCGCCTGCAAGGCTGTCTGAAAGTCTGCGTCGGTGAAGCCAGCCCGGGCCCGGTTTCCTTTTCCATACTGCCAGGAGTTCCATTTGAATAAACCGTCGACGGCCGGGAATTCAGAGATACTGAATGAGTGTATGAAGAAGCTGGGAATTAGGTGGATGGCGGGAACCACGTTCTCCTTGATCCAGAGCCAGCCAGCATTCGTGTCATCACCAAAGGCGGCTTTCTGACCCGAAAAGGTGCTGACGATGGCGCGGCCCTTGTGCAGAAAGTTGGCGCTCCTGGCCGCGAACTCGTCGATGAAGTCCTTCACGGCCTCCTGGAGCTCCAGCTGCCCGGGCTCCACGTCGAAGTGGTCCATGTCAAGGGATAAAAAAAGCTTGAAGCCCGCTACTGTCGGGTAGGTCTCGGCGACCTCGTAGGCGTCGCGAAGACGCTCCCGCTGCCACACGCTGTAGCCATGGTTCAGCGCAAAGGCCTCGATGCCGTAATTCATGGCTTCGATCATGTCGCGCTCCCAGTCGGCCTTGTCATAAAACCACGTGAGGCCAACCATGTGGTGAATGAAGACGTGCTTGCCGTGCACACTCACAAACCCGACAGAGAGAAAAAAGGCCACTGCAATCCATCGTGGAAGAACAAGCATCGCTTGGCGAGCTGGGACGAAGGATTGCTTGAGAAGAGACAACCAACGAAACTGATGAATCACCGCGAATCTAAATGTGCACACGCGGCGGCCGTGGTAGCATGTGCTAGCTTCTCATCTGTTTTAGAAAACGGTTGGGCCCCACTTGAATTCCAGTTGTACTGAATTTGAACCACAGCGATGAAACCAAGCCAAGGGAAGCAAGATCAAGCGACGCCTCTCAACGGTTACATCCTTGTGTCCGCATGTGCACGAGGTCGTGAGAGAGGCAAATCGAAGACAACGTTTAAGTTGACTGAGAAAACGTCGAAGTGCTTGGACGATCTGGGACGATGCACCGACTCAATGTGGTAAAACCGTGGTTGGGCCTGCGTCGGAAATTCAACGTTTTATGCCCGTGGAAGGGGGAACTGTTTCAGTTTCAGATGCAGGTCACAGTGACAGAGTCGAGCTTTGAGTGGGTTTCGGGGTCAATTTCGGTTTCAGTTTCAGTTGGGGTGCGGGGCAAGTGTTTCAGTTACAGTTTCAATGTGATGGGAGTCAAGCTCGGGGGTGTCACTTTCAGTTTCACGTTCCTTCGCGTGCTCATTTCGTTGTTCGGGGCCTGGCCCCTCACCCCCACCCCCCCGCCCGCCCCGCCCCCCCC